CCGCTGGCCGGTTCCAGTGGCTGCTTCCTGTCCCCACCTGGCCTCTGACCACGTGGGCAACCCCCCCCCCCGCAGCCACCCAGCTCTGCACCCCGCTTTTGCTGCCTCCCATCGGACTCCATCCTTGCCACTGGGCTACTGGGCCTCTCTGATGTCCCGCCTGCGAGGCACCTCCGCTGTCCCTTCTCCTGGGCCAGGAACCCCGCTGCCTTCCCTTACAATTAGGGGCACTGCTCTCTCCGCGGATTGGGGGTGCCCACAGCGCCCTGCCTGCAGCCCAGCACATACCAGAGCCTCTGTCGGGTGCCAGCTCTTGACCCAAGCCACTGGCCGGGATGCTGGCCCCGGCCGCTTCTAGGAAGGGGAGATCAGCAGACCCCAGAGGGGCGGCCCCAGAGAGGTGCGGGGCCTCTGGCAGGCCCACAGGTGAGTGACCATTCTCCTGAGAGAACCCCAGGGGCCGCCTGAGGCAGCATGGGGGAGGCCTCACCCCCGCCCCCCAGGACACCAGCCCTCCACTTTCTGGCCTCTCCTAGAGACACAGATTATCCTGAGAGCTGTGAGTCCATGTGGACAGGAAGAAAGTGGGAACAGCGGCCCCCCAAAGCCGTGGGTGCTGGGCCAGCCAGGACCAGTGAGCCCAGAGTCTGTGAACGTCAAGGTGAAGTTGGGAGACTGCCAGGAGGTAGAGAGAAGAGGAGGCGTCCCCTGGGTGGGGCGCGGGCCACCCTGCCGGGGAGGGACCCCAGGGCGCAGCAGACCCCTCCTGTCTCCCCGCTGCCCCTCGGCAGTGCGTTTCAGGGGATCCGCCTGTTCTACTCCCCGCTGTGTCTCTGGAGCGTCCTCTCACCCCCCATCTCTGGCATGCACCCCAGCTCTCGTGCAGCGTCAATAAATAAGTCTTAAAAAATCAATGGAGAAAACTTGAGGTGCTCTGGGTGCGGCGGCCGGGGCACGCGAGCCAGTGACCACGGTGGTGACCGCAAGTCCCCGAGCAAAGGAAACCACAAGACGAGAGGACACCTCCCGCCGGAGAAGTGTCCACACGAAAGTCAGCCCGCAAGGGGCAGTTAGCAGCCCAGACGTCAACACCTGCACCCTCGGGACGGAAACGAACAGTCCGCGAGGAAACAGCAGATCTGAGCGGACACCACCCAGGGGCCGGGCCGAGGGGGGACGAAGGCCGTCCAGCGTGACCGCCGATGCTGGGCAGCTGGAAGCACAGAGGGACCCCGGCTTCCGAGGCGTCCCAGGGCCTGGGCCTTTAAGCTGCAGGCGGTCACTCAGCAAACACCGAGGCCCCGCCCCTTGCTGGCCGCTGGAGGGTGTGGGCAGCAGCGTGCCCCGGAGCGCGTGTCCAGCCCGCCCCCCAGGTGGCCACGCAGCCCGGAGGCAGTGGGGGGACTGCACCCACAGACACACCCTGGCCCGCTGACCGCGCCCGCCGGGCCTGCCTGGGTCACACTCCAGGAACTGGGCGCTTGAGAGTCCAGGCAGGCATCGCCAGGGGCCGGGGAAGAACTGTCAGCAGCACTGGGGTCACCGCAGCCCTTTGGGGTGCCGGGCACGGGCGCCCTTACTATCTTCATGGCTCTTTAGGAACATATTTGCTATAATCAACGAGCCACGTTTTTGCAAGATTTATTAGCGCAAACAAGAGCGGGGGTGCAGGCTGGGGTGAGGGGACGCCCCAGGGACAGTGGGGAGCAGGACAAGGGGATCCCTGAAACTGCTGAGGGGCAGCGGGGAGACGAGGGGGCTCTGCTACACCCTGGGGCCTCGGGGGCCAGGCTCCACCTGACCCCATGCCGGGGGCCCACGGGGGAGGGGGACAGGGCCCGGAGATGGGGCGCCTGCCACCACGGCCCCACATCGCGGCCACCCAGCGGACGTGCTCGGCCAGTTCCGGCCTGGCTGGGCTCCCTGGGAGGTCTGGCAGGGTCCAGCCCCACGAGAGCAGCGGCCGTCGCCCCATGGACACTGCCCTCCCGTCTTGTGCATTCATTGACGCGCATTTCGTGTTCCCTGGGGCTGCTCCCGCTGACAGGCCACGGCCCCCCTGGACTCCGGCGGGCACTGCTGCTGCCCAGGCGCGGGCCTGGACACCCCTCTCCGCGGCCCTCAGTGCCCTCCTGTGCCTGCCGCCTGCGCTGGGGTCCCCGTTTCCCACGGCAGCTCCGCTTCCTTCCAGGTCACAGAGAGGCGGCCGCGCTGTGGGGAGGGCCCGTGCAGCGGCCTAGGTGTCGAGGTGTCGTGGGGGAGAGGGCACCCCAGGACCCCAAACTAGCCGGCTCTCAATAGGTTCTGCCGCCTGCCGTGTCAAGACAAAACATGCAGACCTTGCATGCAAAGGGCTTGAGTTCAGTCAGTGTGAGACAGACAGGACAAGGAATATCGCGTCTAAGTCAAACCCCCAATGACCCCGTCCCCCGGGGTAAGTCCCCCCGAGAGGGACTGGTCCAGAGCAGGCCGGGAGCCCCCCGTCCAAGGCCCCTTCCGGGGACCATGGGAAAGGGGCAGAAACGGCCGGACGGTCCGGAGGGAAGACCCACGGCAAGGTCAACGCCGCCACTGTCACCAGGGCCCCCCTCGTCCGTGCGAGTCCCCTGAGCACTTTCTGGAAGCCTGGCTGACCGGGCGCTGGCCAGGCAGTGCCCGGGGCAGCTGCTCGAGCGGCCACGGTGTCTCGGACACTTTAAAAAAAGACCCCACGGTTTTGGTTTTGCCGGCCGACGGGGATGCAGGGTCTGGGAACCTGGCCTGGCTCCCAGGGCTTCGCCGGCGGGCAGGTCTGGGCCGTCAGTCCATCCACTCAGGAAGCCCCTCCCCGTCCAGCTCCCTGGGCCGTCGCGAGGGCGCCAGTGGGAGCTGGACCCCACCACCGCCCAGCTGGCCCTGGGACTTGACTCCTTCGCTATGACGCGTCCACCCGGGTGTGGGTGTGTCGGCCCTCACACAGTGCTGCGCTGACCACGTGCAGGACTGCGAATCGACAGTCGGGACGACGTCTGGCCAGGAGATTTGTTGTCAGGCCTGAGCAGGGCCCTCGGCAGTGGCCGGCCCCTTGCAGCCCTCACGTCCGTGGGAACGCCTTTCTCCTTTCTAATTTTATTTTTTACATCAAAGAGCTGGGTGCAGGCCAGAAGTGGGGGAGTGAGAGGACTCCCCAGAGACAGGGTGGGGTGCAGAAACCTTCTGGTGAGGGGGCAGGAGGGAGATGCGGCCGGCAATACCCTGGGGTCACCCCCTGGCCAGGGTGGACGGCTCACAGGCCGCAGCTGACCCTATGCCCAGGGAGGCCCTGCTTCCTCTCTCTGTCCCATGTGGGAATAAAGTCGTGCCTTGCCTTTCGCCTCCTGCCTTCGGTCACGGAACTGTTCCCTGTGGGTCCACCCTACAGGGATTGAGGATAAAATGGCGGGATGGCAGGTCCTCCCTGGTGGCGCAACAGGTTAAAGCACAACACCGCAGGCTGGCCGCAGCCTCTTCAATGCGAGTTCGATCCCCACCCCGGAGCTGACCCACAGGGCGCAGCAGACCTCTCCAGTCTCCCCACTGCTCCCCTCAGCAGTGTCCTTCTTCCGTCTGCCTGTTCTGCTCCCCACTCAGTCTCTGGTGAATCCTCTCACCCCCTGCACCTCTGGCCTGTACCCCAGTTCTGTATGAAGACATGGCAGGATGGCATCTTTGCTTTTTGAGAGCTGAGTAATATTCCACCACCTCTGTGGATCCATTTTCTTAATCTGTCATCAGTTGGGGGGCACTTCGGTCATTTCTATTCCTTTCCCCTCTCAAATTCTACTGATTGGCCCCTGGTTTACAGCACCACAGACTTTGGGGTGTGCAGCCCCACGCTCCACGGGCGCATGCTTCCCTCACCCTCTACTGGCCCAGGCCCCTGGACAGGCGCCCAGGAGAGGCCAGGCGTGTCCAGTCAGCGCCCCGCCAGCCAGAACCCAAGATGAGACAGAGCCTGAGACAAACACACCGCCTGAAGCCACGGCGCCCAGGCTCGGCCACGGCATGGCCACGCCCCGTGCCGGCCACGGGCACGTCGAGGCACCGGGGAGTCCTGGGCCACGAGGGTTTGCGTGGCGCCCACACGGTGGCCGGCAGCACCCACCTGGCTGGCTTCACTGGGTGGGGGCTGCCACGTCTCCAGAGCCTCGCAGGGCAGCTTCTGGCTGCAGAGGGGCAGGCTGCTGCTCAGGCCCTGCGGGCAGAGGGGAGGGTGAGGCGCGGGGCATCTGCGGGGCGACCTGAGTGGGGGCGCCTGGTTGACAGGGTGCAGCCCCAGCCTGCAGGGTGACTGTGGAGTGGGAGGAGGAAGGTGGGGGTGGGGGGTGCCGGTATGTGGGGTGTCCCAGCCAGGGTGCTATGGTGTCTGCCTGGATTTGAGGGACCCTGCCACTGTCCTGGCCACTCTGTGGTTTTAGCCCATGGCCAGAGGCTTCCCCGGACGCTCAGACAGTGGCCTCGGTGTCCCTGTGGACCTGAGCCGGGAGTGGCCTGGGCTGGGCTGGGTAGGCAGCACCACCAGGGTGTCTGAGCCTGTGCAGGGGACAGCGGAGATAGGCAGATGTTCTGGGCTAGGGACACGCCAGACTGGCCTTGGCTGCAGAGACGGATGTCCACTGGAAGGCCCCAAGCACTCGTCCTGGGGGGCAGCACACAGGGCCTGGCGGGCTCTGGCAGGGTGCAGCCCTGCAGCCACAGCCAGCGGCGCCCGTGCCCACGCCCCCACCCCGTGACAGCGAGGGCCTGGAGGCCCCAGGGGCGTGGAGACCCCCTTTTCCAGCTTCTGTCCAGCACCGCCCCGGCCAGTTCCCCAAGCCCCCAGTGTGGCCTTGGTCAGCTCAGGATGGAGGAGGCAGGAGCGGGAAGGACACTGGGCCGCACACAGAGGCCAGTGCCTCTGGACGGCGTGGCTGAGCTGGCGATTCCCAGGGCCTCTTCTTGGGTGCGGAGGAGACGTGTGTGCTGAAATCTACCCGGGAGGGGTCCACTGGGCAACTGTGCGGTCAGCGCCGCCTCCCTGGACCTCCGGCCAGGCGGGGCTTCTGCTGGCACCGGGAGTCAGGCTGACTCCAGCCACACCCAGCTGCACCCCAGGGAGAGCCCCCAGCCCTGCAGACTCCGCAGTGTGTGGGGACCCCCACACGCCCAGGTGGGGACAGCTGGTCAGCAACATTCAAGAGCAGAAGCCACAGCCCCTGGGGGTCTGACTCACCCCTGCCGAGGTTCCTAGGTGGGTGCTGCGGGGGAGGGGTGCGGCCAGCCAGGCAGGGGCTCCAGGACTTGCAACGGCCCCGTGATGTGGGCCCAGGCTGGGGTGGCCCAGCTGCCCACCAAGTGGACCGGGACAGGGAGCCTCTCTTGGCCCGGCTTCCGACGTGCGTCCACCACTTTGCCCTCGCGCCCTCCAGCCCTGCTCACGTTTCCCAGACTGAGGTCCCACGTGTCTGCCCTGAGGCGGACTCCCTGGCCCCCTCTGCAGCACACAACTCCTGCGCCCAGCCTGCGAGTTGGAGCCCCCCTCACAGAGTGCAGGCCCCTGACGGGGCCTGTGATCCTGGCTGTGCACCCCAAGCCAGACCCCGGCACGGACTGCAGGTGACCAGCTGAGGGAGCAGGGGCCCCCCCGGATGGCCTTACCATGTCTGCTCCTGGGGCTCCTGGCTCCGGCACCCCACACGGTCTGCTCCACCAGGTCCTCAGGGCCAGGCACCCCTGCGTGTCCAGTCCTCACCTGCGGTCAGGGCAAGAGGGCAGCGGTCAGCGGGGAGTCCGACAAAGTCGCAGTGAGCCCGTGGCGGGTCTCTGGGGAGGGTGCCCACGGCCACCATGTGCAGGGGTATCCTCTGGACCCCGCTCCTGGCCATGCCCGGGGGGTCTCTGTCCCGCACCCCTCGCTGTCCCCTCAGGCCTGTGGCCACCAGCCACCCGAGCGGGGGCCTCTCGCCGGCCAGCTGCACGTGTCCTTTGCCCGTCCAGGCGAGCACAGGCCACATGAGACTGACTGTCTGGGGGAGCGTCTGGGGGAGCCCGGCTCTCGGTCACCAGACACAGCAGCGGGTGTCCAGCTCTGAGGGGATGCAGCAGGTGGGCAGGCCGGGCAGGAGTGGATGGCCATGGGGGCAGCAGGTGGCCCGGTGGTCCTGGGGTCCTGGGAATGGGACTCAGGTCCTGCTGCCAGGTGAGGACGCGAGAAGGGCCCGGCCCCAGGATGTGGGCCAGAGCCGGCCCACGGCCTCAGGTCCACTCCAGGACACGGGGAGCTGGGGCAGCAGCTGGACTGAGGCTGGTCTCAAACAGGCAGCTCCTCTTAGGAAGGCCCAGGCAGAGGAGGCAGGAGCCGCGGGGGATGGGAAGTGATGGGCCGTCCAGCGAGCGCCCTGGCTGTTCCCACGCTGCCTCTGCAGCCCAGGCCTGACCCTCCCGACAGGGGCCACCGCACAGGCTGAGAGGCCTGGTGGGGAGCCCCACGCCTCCGCTCACCCCACGCCTCCGCTCACCCCACGCCTCCGCTCACCCGACGCCTCCGCTCACCCGTCTGTGTCCAGCCTGCGCCTGCAGACACAGCTCAAACGCTGGCAGCCCAGGCCCTCTGTGCCAGCGGCCAGCGCACGGCAGAGGGAGGCCAGGCCGGCGGCAGGGGCCGTCGCCTGCCGAGGCAGCACCGCCAGAAGCCCCCAGGACAGACGGGGCAGCCGGCAGCCAGTGGGGCGGGGCCTGCTGGCAGGGGGCGGGGCGTCCCCAGGGCGGTCGAACAGGCTGAGCCCTTCTGCCCCGCCCACGGCGCTCCTGGCGACCCCCACGGGTCCAGAGACGTCCTGACGCCGACCGCGTCCAGGGAAGCGCCCCGCCCACCAAGGCGCCCCACGTGCCCTTGCTCAGCGGGACATCACCTGAGCTTCGGGCATGAGGATGGGATGGTCAGGGGACCCGGTGGGTCCTCGAGACTGAAAACTGTGCCCAGAGTGTCCACCAGAGGCACAAGCAGAGGGCCAGCCACCAGTCACCAGGAGTGCTGGACAGCAGTGGCCAGTGGGGATGACCACCACCAGTCACCAGGAGTGCTGGGCAATAGTAGCCAGTAGCGATGGTCACCAGGGTCATCAGGAGTGCTGGACAGCGTCGCCAGTGAGGATGGCCACCACCGGTCACCAGGAGTGCTGGGCAGCACTGGCCAGCAGCGATGGTCACCACCGGTCACCAGGAGTGCTGGGCAGCACTGCCCAGTGCGGTTGGTCATCTTCGGTCACCAGGAATGCTGGGCAGCATTGCCCAGTGGAGATGGTCACCGCCAGTGCCCAGGAGTGCTGGACAGCAATGGCCAGTGGGGATGGTCACCACTGGTCACCAGGAGTGCTGGGCAGCGTGGCCAGTAAGAATGTTTGCCACCGGTCACCAGGAGTGCTGGGCAGTAATGGCCAGTGGCGAAGGTCACCACTGGTCCCTAGAGGTGGTGGAGAGATTCCCTTCCTGAGTTGTTGGGCCACCGGCCGGGGCCTTGGGGCTCCCTCCCGGGGATGGACAGGTAGGGCTGGCCCCGCCCCAGGCTGCTGGCCTGTGTGGCCCCCTCCCCTCCCACCAGAGCACGTCACCGCCGCCCGCCAGCCGACGCAGGACGCCCCGCCCACCGGCGAGGCAGTTTCCAAGCCTGCCGCTGATTGGGCCACCCAGCGCCCTCGGCTCCCAGCTGGCTCCCGATTGGCCCAGCTCAACGCAGGAAGTGAGTGGGCGGGGCCTGCGCCAGGCGCGGCCTGCGCGTGGCCGGGCGGGAGGCGGAGCCCGCAGCCCCTCCGACACCTACCTCCAGCGGCCCCAGGTGAGTGCCGTGGCCGCGCGAACGTCACCGCCTGCCGGGGTGCCTCAGCGTGGCCGCAGCCAGCTCGTGCTCGCGAGCGGCCTGTCCGTCGGGTCCAGGCGGCCTCGCGCCTTTTGCCGCCTCTGTGACGTCCTCACACCTGGTCACACCTGGCCACGCCCGGCCACGCCCTCAGGTGCGCACCTGCCGGGAGGCTTCCAGAAGGAGGGTGGCCCGCCAGGCCAGCGCCTCCCAGGGACGGCCAGCGCCCCCAGTCTGACCAGCCTCACAAAGCTGTACCCGGAGCTGGACACCCCTGACCTTCTCCTGCGCCCCCAAACGGCAGGAGATGGGGAGCCCCAGGTGGGGGGTGCGGGGTGCCAGGGCTGTCCAGGAGTCACCCCAGGGGTGTCCACGATGGCCCTGAGGAAGGAGGCGGGGCAGCAGGGAGCTGGGTGTGGGGGGAGGATTTGGGGGGCCCGGTCACCAGCTGCGAAAGTCGGGCTAAGGCTGTTTTGGAGAGGGGGTGGGGCCGCGGACTGGCCATGTTTGGGGTACGCGTGCTGGGGCTGTGTTCTGGGTTTGAGTGCAGGGTGGTGTTGGGGGTGTTATACATGGGGGCTGTATTTGAGGGGTAAGCGTGCCAGGCTGTGTACTGGGGTTTGCCCAGAGGGGTTTTGGGGGGTACGCATGGCTTTTTCTCCCAGAGTGGCCAGTGGGGCCTCTATCCAGGCCGGAGGACGTCCTGACCACCTTCCTCTCTGGCTTTTCCGAGACCTTCCTGTTGAAAGGATCCAGTCACCCCCCAAGTGAGCAAAGCCCCAACTCTGCGTGTCTCATTGTGCCCCCCAAAGCCCTGCATCTCCTTTGGGGGAGTAGAATTCACCTTGAGAGACTAGGAGGCGCTGCTGTCATGGAAGGGGGCGCCTGCAGGGGGCGGGTCCCCAGCGGAGGGGACTGGGCCTGTCGGGGCTGAGGTTGGCTTTCCAACGCCCACCTCGGCCTTTTCCTCAAATGGCCCCCCTCTGCCCCAGACCTGCTGCCCAGGGCAGGCCACTTCCGCTTTGGGGACGCGAGGTCAGATACCCCAAATCCACCTCGCTACTTCGGGCATCCACTGTTCCTTGCATCCTTGTCTGGCTTTATCTTGTACACAAAGGGAGTAGCTGCTCCCCGCTGCCACGCTGGCCTCCCAGGTGCACATTTATGTGCACACTTCCTCGACCGCTGCAAAGTGACCTCACATCCTCCCAGAGGCTTCTCCCTGACCACACCGGGCACCTCCCCCAGTTGCAGCCACGCACTGGGACGCCTGCGGCCGGGCTCTCTGGCCTCTGGCCGTGTCTGGACCTGCATGTCTGGGGCCTGCACACCAGGGTCCAGCAGCGGCCTCCACTCCCTCCCCAGCACTGGCCGTGACTGGAGGCCTGTGTCTGTTCCACCTGCCCAGGATGGTGTCCAGGCTGCATTTTTACCTATTTTAAAAGATTTTATTTTACAAGAACTGGGTGCAAGCCAGAGGTGTGGGGTTAGAGGACTCCCCAGAGACAGAGGGGGGAGCGGAGCAGGCGGCTCCCTAAACCCCCCTGCTGAGGGCGCAGCAGGGAGACAGGCAGTCTGCTGCACCCTGGGGTCACTCCCTGGCTGGGGTGGACTCAGGGCGTGGCAGTGACAGCCCCTGGCACCATTCCCCCATCCCCACTTCCTGAATCTCCTGTACTTGGAAATGATAAAGAACCAAAGAGCTGCTTGGATTAGACACCCCCCCCACCCCACCCCACCCCGCGCCTGGCAGGGACACTGTGAGGACGAGGCGCCCAGCCCTGCCCCCGCCTCCAGTGCAGAACAAGGCGGTTCTCTTGGTCACAGGCAGGTGCCAGGTCCTGCGTGCCCACATCCTGCGGTAAAGCCTTGTCAGCCTCATCAGCCCTGGTAGACTCACTTGTGCGCGGTAGGTCAGGTGCCCTAAAGGGGTTTTACGTGCAGCTCAGCGGGCTGGGCGGCCACCCCCACTCCCTGTGTCCTGTGGGCGCCCCAGGGCGTTCCCCTCCTGCCCCGACCGGCCTGGCTGGCTCTGTCCGTCGTTTCTGGCGCCGAGGCGGCCCCTGGCGCCCTCCTGTGGTTGGTGTCGACATAGCGCCTCCGCGTCCCTGCACAGCAGCTGACAGGCCAGGGGTCTCCCCCCTGGCTGGTCTGCTTGGCTTCGAGCTGCCCGCACCCCCCCCCACCATGGCCTTTGCTGCGGGCCTGGCGGAGGGCGGGATGCCAGGCCACAGCACTGCCCTTCAGTGCCTGCCCGTCTGTGCCCAGCTGCTGTCCCACCCCTCGACAGATGCACCCAGCTGCCGTGGACCTCGGCCTGTGGAGGCTGTGCTGCGTCATCTCCATCCGTCCCTTTGGCTGTGCCTTCCGCTCTTGTCTGCCGCCCTGTTCGCAGGTGCAGGTGAGCAGATGGCACCAGATCTGGGACTCGAGTCCTGCCTCCCTCCTGGCCTCCGGGGTGGTGCGTCCACCCTGCGCACATCGTGAGCCCTTTCGCTGCCGCCTGTGAACTTGACGGTGTGTGGTGTGTCTTTGTGGGGCTCCCCATTCGGCACCACACGTTGCTGCTGCCGTTGCCGGGGTACCACCAGTGCCTCACCCCCTCACTGCTTCTGGGCTACCTGCGGCCCCCCCAGACTGGACTAGAGCCCCCATTGGTTCTCAGAGTTTGTCCACAGCGGCATGTCCCCAGTAGCACCTGCCAGGTGGCCTGGGGAGGGAGATGAGGGGCATGGGGGTGGGGCGTGGGGAGGCCTGTGCTCCCCACGCTCAGGCATAGCTGACAGCGGGAACAGGCTCTGGGAGCTGCGGCTTTGTTTCCAGCTTGTCACTTATTTTTGCTTTTCGGCTCATGAACTCTCTTTAAAAACCTTTTACTTACTGCGGAAAACCGCCAGTGACATTGTGGGGTGGTGGTTGCCCCGACCCTCGCCCCTGCATCCACCCAACAGTCCGCTACCTCCGGGCACCACTAGACGCCCGCCTGTCCCCCCTTTCTGTTGTCCATTCTTCACAGGGGACGCTACGAGG